TTTTACATGTCTGTAGAAGACGTTATTTTCCTTCTATTTTCACTGAAAAGGCCAATTTATATGAAAAAACGACCTTTACGCTACGACTGCAAATTGTGCTTGCATTTGCATTACAAGGCTTTGATAGTCCCTTACAAAGACTCGGATGCATGCACCTTGGTTCCGCTTTAGATTTAAGTCTAGCGAGTGCATAGTGCCAATAAATATCTTTCATTAATGACAAAATCTCTTAGTTATATAATAATACTAGCTGTGCCCGTTCGCTTCGCTGGCCATTTAAAATTAACATTACCTATTATTTTTCACCCCCACAAAGATTCTCATTATTAACGCCCCCGCAACTGGTGTAGGGAGTCCAACACTCATATAAATATTAGCCTATCCATTAAGTATATGTATTTTCTACATGGATACCAAGTTTCAAGTCAATCGGATGCATGGTTCAGTAATTATAACGGATCATCCGTAAAAACCACTTTAGATTTATATAATAGTATAGATAGTACAGCTGATCTAAAGAATCTGGTATCATCTACAGCTATCGATTGCAGTCTCCTCGTTGGTCTAATGTTTAGTAATCCTAATTTTAAAATTTCTCAGTAAACTAAGAGTCCAAATTTTCTTATTCGGAACTATTTCAAATATGTCGTCGTGGCCTAAAGGATGAGACGTCCGGTGCATTCGTATTTAGCGATGCACCGGTGTTCGAATCTCGCTGGCAAGTACCAATTTTTCTAATGAAATACGTAATTAAAAACGCAACGCAAAGTTATAATTTGCGTAATTACTGGTGGTAGGACCTCTTGTGAGTCCGCACGGGTAGGTAGGTACCACCACCCTGCCTATTTCTGTCGTGAAACACTAATGCGTTTCGGTTTGAAGGGTGGGGCAGCCGTTGTAACTATACTTGAGACCTTAGAACTTATATCTTAAGGTAGGAGGCGGCATTTACATTGTAGACGTCCATGGGCTCCACTAACCACTTAACATCATGTGGGCCGTGAGCTCGTCCACGTACCTAAGCAATAAAAAAAATAAAAAAACTTGAATCTATGCACACATACCTTTATATTGTCGTTAGCGCGTTAGTTAGGCTTCTGTCAAATATATTTTGTTACCGCTACATGCTTGATGTCAGGCGACGTAAACTTTCCCAGTTCAATGATCAACGAATTATTTGCAACGAAAAGAATTCATTTTCTTCCGATATCAAAATGCTTTACGAATCCTTTAAACCGGAATTGACACCGTTTTGTATTTTGTTCGGAGGTCCACGTTTCATTTCCGGCCCATTGCCGGCCGAGGTATTTTGTTGAGAATTTTCTTTCAATAGCTCCCATTCAATCTACGGTGCAAAAGTTTAGAACGATCTTGGTAAACCCTTTTCAATTTTATTGTTGTCTTCTCAGAATTTAATGAAAGCTCCTTGTCTTGATTTCTTGCTTTTACTTTTGAATTTGACGTATTTCTTTATTGCTGCAAAAAGGTCGAACGAGTTTAAGAGTCTGATACACCTGATAAGGTAGTACCATCGCTTATCGATGTCAACAATATCAATGTACAGCCAATATGTTGTCTGTATTTAGCGATTCTCTTCAAACCTCTTTGGAGAGCCCCATAGACACAGCCCACTGAGTTTCTCGCCGGATCTTCAGTGAGCCACGTTTCCGATCCGGTGGTAGATTCTACGAACCACTGCTCTTGCTAGGGTCATTGTTAGCAACACTCCGGTTTGAGCCCCGTGAGCTCACCTACTCACGTTAGAGTGATGCTGAAATAGCCTCTCAAGGTTATGAGAATAGGTACCAAAAAAAAATTTGGAGCGGAATTTCTTAGAGCGCTTCGAAAACACAATTCCAAAGTATGTGCTAGAAACGATCTATAGAAACACACTGTTTATTAACGAATAGATCTAATTAATTCATCTAGCTTCTAATCGTCCGTTGAATAAGCACAACAATAAAACACATCTTAAAACAAATTAAAACACCGATTTATTTTATATAGACTGAACATCTGTCTAGGTTAGTACTTGAATGAAGGATAGACGAGATGAAGATCTCTGCTGCTTGAGATACAGGCATGATAGATGAAAATTAAACTTGTAGGTTTATCTTCATTAAATGAAATATGTGGATAAAAGGCGCCAAATGGTCAGTGAGTAATGGAGATGCACAGATAATGTAAAATTGTTCATAAACGTCAAACGTCATTTTGCGTTTCGTTCCACGCTATATGGATCTTGAACAATAACTTGATTTATCTAAAAAAATGTAAAAGCGAGCAAGGAACGTTGATTTGTTACAGTTGAGTACCTGGTAAGTGGCATTTTCTAATTGGTCTGCAAATGTTTGTTGTACATTGCGCTAAACGGACTCAAATTTTTTAATTGATTATTACAAAATAAATCTGATTCTAGAAATGTTGGATATAGCTTACATTATAATTTGCTTAATTTAAGATGTTTTATTTATGGATTTCGAACCTTATGTTACAGATAATAGGGCATGTTGTGAGCCCACATAAGTACCTACATAACTATTTTTACCGCGAAGTAGTCATTACCATTTCAAGGGCGGCATAGCCATTTTCCTACACAAGGCTACTTCAAGCCCACGGTAAACTCATCGGTTTATTTACATCAATAAATATGTAGTGGGTAGCTATCACAAAACGTAAGATGTATAACAGATGCCCGAATCCTGCTAGCGATATTTTCAAGATAAGTTTGCATATGTAGGTATATCCAAATTCTGTAAAATAACATTTAGAAACCTCCTGGCTGACCCTGTGCTTGCCCACCTACCCTACCCTACCCTAGTGAAACTGGAAGGCCTCAGAGCCACCAGTTAATCTTTCCTTTAAAAAAAAAGACTATAACCGCTCGGTGGGAGATCTTCCCTTTGTCATTACTACTCAAATATATATTAGAAGATAGCAAATTAAGTCTAAATAATACTTACGCTATTAGTGGATGATTTGAGTAGTGAGTGGTGAACGAAGTGTTGTGACGAAATCTCGACACGTTTAATGATAACAGAGACACGTGTTTATTTTGTAAATGCGATTTCGTCACCTTTATATGCATCGAATGTTGTACACCATTCCACTTTCTGGGACATTATTACTGGTGGTAGTTACCACCACCTTACCGATTATTGCCGATTATTACATTTTTGGATTTCGCTTTAATGACGTATTAAAATGAGCTTCAGCTAATAGTTATCTTAGAGTTCACTGTCTGAAATCGTTTAAGAATTAAAACATAATATATCAGTTTTAAATCGCGTCCAATATTCCTGACACGCGCCCTCTATAAACTACTGTAACACGATCGTGCTCAACAAAAGAACTTCAGAAACTAATACTTCGTTAAGATTTTAATTTTTTTTTTTTTTTCCATTTTCTCCGAGTTACGTTCTGGGAAAATTTCCATTAAGCCGAGAGACCGTGTTCAATTACCCTCGCAGCTACAAAATAAAATCGAGCCAGCTTGTTGGACAAGTTGCTCACGACCGCGCGCGCCTCTGGGCTACGAGCAGATTAGCCGTGTAACTATCTAAAACAGTAATTAGTGGGAATTTTCGCGCTCTTCCCTGTCTCAATTTGAGTTAGAATTTATTTAGTACTTTAGTATTATTTTTTTATCGATTAGTTAATTCGTGAAAACGGTGCGTCGATATTTTTGGATAATTAATTTTATCTTTAAATACATGAAGCAAAAACTTTGCGCTGATGGAGGAGTATGAAACTTTCCACATTTATAGAGAATATAGAGAAGGAGTGCTGAATGCTAATATTATTTTTAAATTATGCATAAAAAATACATTAACTTAATAAAAAAAAATTGGCACATACTACCATGTATTTGACACACACACGCATACTTTTTCGTTTATTGTTAAAGTCTGTGGTCAAATTGACAAAAGAACCTTAACAATGTTCAAACTTATAGGTAGTTTAAATGAATTATGGTCGAATCTCGACCGATGGGCGACCGCTAGTTTGATTAGTAACGTGCCCCGTTATTGTATAACTACATACTAATACGTAATCCGGTCCTGCCCAAGCATATCTTCTGAAGATAGGTACCACGATCTAACCCATTTTGCCGCGAGGCTAGCATCTGTTGGAGTATAATTATTAATTAGAACACCGCCAAACATCTTGCGACGTCTATGTGCTCCGGAAACCATTTAACCCCGCCTTGAACATGACGATGTTTGATTATTTTAAACAGTTATAAATTAGTAAAAATTCTAATGAAAGAAAGTGCAATTTAGTCAGTTTAAAGTGTACTTTCTTTCATTAGAACTTTGCACCGCTCTAAACCGCTTTCAAAAATTTCATCTAAACGTTGGTAGCTTATCCGAGAAATAAGCCTGGTAGTTTCCCTTCTGGGTCTTGACGCAGAACTCCGGGTCTCAGGAAAACAAAAAATCGCTATCCTAGTAAGGATAACGGATCAAACTGTTCAAAATATTGAATTGTCATCGGTCCTTAATAATTATGCCAAATTTCGAGTTAATCCGACGTTTTGCAGGGGGTCAAAATCATGTTCAAAGATTCCGTTACATACTAGCATACTGTTACGCGCTGGGGTTCGGGATAAATAAAATTCTACCGAATTACAAGGTAACACTGTATTAACAATTAAAACACTTCACAAAAACTTTATAATTCTCAATTCGCTTCTTCCGCTTCGCTTCAGGTGGTCCGTTCGCTGTTTCGCTTCGAGTAGTTCCGATTACTAACTGACTGCGTGCCATCTCTGCAACGCTTTTATAGTCGAGACGAAATTCCTAGAATCGTCGAGAATATTCCACAAAAGTCTAGTATATTGTGTTTCCGCTATCTGACAATAGATGGCATTGTACTTCTCAAGCGTTTTAGATGCTAGATCCTTCGATAATTGTTCGACTATTCGGCGAGAGATGACTTTACTCTTACCGGCGTAATAATACGTATGAAGCGAATAAAAGCGTATTAAAAAAACGCAGATTGCGCACCCACACCGGAGGGCAAGAAAATTGCCTCATGTCTCTGCACCGTGTGCAGCTTATCTGGGGTCACCGTAGAGGCCCCCTACAAACGTGGTGCTCCCGGGCAGTGCCACCGTTGCCAGCTCTATGGCCACTCCGCCATAGACTGCCCGCGCGTTAAGGAGACAGCGACGGAGCCACCGAGCTGTGTACTCTGCCGTAAGCAGGGACACACGGCCAACTACCGCGGATGCCCTAAGGCTCCACGGAAGCGCCCGGCCAACGCGCCCCCCAAAACCGCTGGCCCAAAGACTTCGGCGCCCCGCGCGCCGAAACCGGCTTTCGTACCGGCTCCGGTGCCCACCGTCTCCGCGTGGGCGAAACCGTTGCCGTTCACGAAGGCAGGAACAACACCGGCACCCCAACCGCGGTACGCGCCGCCACCTCTACTCGCGCCGCGCCCCGCCCCCGCGCCCGCGCCCGGTCCCGCGCCTCGCCCCGGCCCCGCGCGCGCCCCCACAAACGACTTCTCGATCATACGAGACTACATCGCCGCAATAAACATAGACCGCATGCGTTCGTTCGCCGACGCCATGCGCAGGGCAGTCACGGCCGATGACCGCCTATATGCGAAGTTCGACCACATGGACGTCATCGAGTCCGTCCAGCGCACGCTGGTTTAATCACCAGTAATCGATGGCGTACAAAGCGAGACTTAAACCCCATTCTTTGAAGTTAGCATTCTATAATGCTAACGGACTCGCGCGTCAGCGCGACCAGGTTTATGAGTTTCTACGCGACAATCTCATCGACATCCTTCTGGTGCAGGAGACCTTCCTAAAGCCCTCGCGTCGCGACCCCAAAGTCGAGAATTACGTCATGGTTAGGAATGACAGACTCTCCACCCGCAAGGGCGGGACTGTCATTTACTATAGGAGGGCCCTGCACTGCGTCCCTCTCGATACTCCCTCGCTCTTACATATCGAGGCGTCAGTGTGCCGCATCGCGCTGACGGGACACCAGCCGATCGTCATCGCATCCGTTTATCTCCCCCCTGACAAACCCCTCCTGAGCAGNATTAACTCTCAGACACAGCCCACTGAGTTTCTCGCCGGATCTTCTCAGTGGGTCGCGTTTCCGATCCGGTGGTAGATTCTGCGAAGCACGGCTCTTGCTAGGGTCCGTGTTAGCAACGTCATCAGGTTTGAGCCCCGTGAGCTCACCTACAAAAGTTAGGGTTACGCTGATATAGCCTCTCAAGGCTATCAGCTTAGGTAGAAAAAAAAAAAAAAAAAGCAGATTGCGCGCGTGCGTAAAGTGTGTAATAAAATACAAAAACCTCGAGCAATGATTAGAACAAACCTGAAACCTAACAGGGCAAATCATACCAAAAACCTTCGACGGAAGACCCAGAGTTTCTTACACAAATACAATTCGTCGGCCTCTGGAATTATAATTAGAATATATTATTCCTGGAACTGATTGTAAAAAAAATGTTACAGAAATCCGTTGGCCTGTTCTTGAAAACAAACCGTGAAACTGGAACGATGCTTTCACATCTTATTACATTATCTTTGAAGAAATTAAATATTAATTCGTAAGCTGTATGTACCCTTTGATGATATACAATTTCGAGGAAACTCAAACGCATTGCTTTCTCGTTGTCCTCGAATCGTGGAAATGATTCTGCATTTTTAAAGAATTGTACGTTGAATTTATTTTATCAACATAGTAATAAATATTCGAGAGCTACTCTAATCCACTTGGAGAATCCAGACTAAGCTGGCAACGGTGTAGCAATATAAGTGAGCAAAGTGAAGCTGCTAGTGTTATAAATTTTATCGCCAATTGTTTAGGTACTTAGGTTAGGTTGGGTTAGGTTTTTTTACTGGTGGTAGGACCTCTTGTGAGTCCGCGCGGGTAAGTACCACCACCCCGCCTATTTCTGCCGTGAAACAGTAATGCGTTTCGGTTTGAAGGATGGTGCAGCCGTTGTGACTATACTGAGACCTTAGAACTATATCTCAAGGTGTGTGGCGCATTTACGTTGTAGATGTCTATGGGCTCCAGTAACCACTTAACATCAGGTGGGCTAGGAGCTCGTCCACACATCTAAGCAATAAAAAAAAAAAAAAAAAGTTAGATATGTCACGTATCTAAGCTTTGTATGACTGGAACTTGTAGTTTGATACTCCGGTGAAGCCAGGATCTTTGACATGTTGGATCAAGATATGCTGTGCACTTCGGCTGGTGCTAGAAAGAGCGAGGCAACGCTTTATGGAAGCTTAGGGATCCCGGTAACCGTACTCGTCGAACTCGGCAAGGGGTTTGTCGTCCAACCTAACCCGTGCATCAGCCCGTTGAGTTTCTCGCCGGATCATCTCAGCGGGTCGCGATATTGATCCAACAGTAGATTCATCCGCGAAGTTGCTCTCGAGTTGATAGGTCTCCTTCAGAGGCGTTCGGGCAGCTGTTAGCTAATCCCACCCGTCCTGGCTGAGCCTTTGCTCGCCCACCTGTCCTGGTGAAACTGGAAAGGCCTCAGGGTCACCAGTAATCATTCAATCATAAAATAATAATAAAAGATTTATGGAAGCATCTTCTGAAGAAATCACCCCATTAAATGAAGTAACCCCATGACATAATATTGACCATTTCCATTCGGAATTATGTTTCATTACAGTTCTATGTTATATAATATTATTATTTCTAATATGTAATCTACGAAGTATGTATATTTCGACATCAAAGTCAGACTTTGGAATATTTTCCGTTATTAAATTAGTTCGCTAAACTAACTTTTATTTTAATCTATTTTATTGGTAATTTCTGAACCATATCGATTTTTTTGTCAGTGTCAAGAGACTAATGGTGTTATCACGTGTCACCTACTGTTGAGCGGTTACCGTAGTCCATGGTCATCTTAATATGAATACTGCCACCAGCAAGGTGATGTCATGGGTTCAATTCTATTACGTAATGTTTTGTTTAAAACCTGCTTTTACGATTTTTATTTATTTTTCTTAATTTCACAGATGTCCACCACGAAGACTGTGAACAATTTGATACGTCGGAAATAATAATAAGGACAATAAAAAATTAAATAAATTAAACCGTAAAAGTACTTTTAATTACATATGTCTACGAATTGCGACAAGATAGCGTCTTCTCGCATTAAAACTGTATAATCTGAAAACTTACAAAATTTTACAGGAGAGCGTTTTAAAGGTTTACCATATTATTATGATATTTTTAATATTAATCATCTTTGCAACATTTATTTTATGTATTAATTTTGTTAATAGTAGTCAAAATATAGGGAAACTAAAAAAAAAAAAACTAAAACTAAACTTCGCTCTTTTGACAGTATTTATGAGAAAAATACTGGTGATACCAAATGATTCCGCATATTAACTCAATTTCGAATATTTTTGAAAATTGTACACTTTTATTGCGAAAAGACGATATAAGAAGACAACAATGTAGATGGGAAGATGACAAAAAAAAAGTGGCAGGAACGACTTTGATGAAAAAAACGCAGGATACAACAATATGGAGAAACCTTGGGGAGGCCTATGCTGTACAGCAAGACGATCAAGAAACTCGTGTCGAATAAGAAAACTAGAAAAATAGTTCGGCTGCTCGAGCCGGTATGTTTTATGCGACAAAAGTAACTCGTATTTATTTATACTTAGTAGAACAGTGGGGTAGTTTGTTCATGAATTTTCTTGAATACCGTCTTAAACAATTGTTGACATGCGTTGGTCTTATAACAATTACCTATCCCATAATCTTAAAATTAAGAAAGACAGTTAAGTCTCACCATCGTAGTTAAATAAATAGCAGGATTGTGCCGATATCCATATTTTTATTGCTTAGATGGGTGGACGAGCTCACTGCCCATCTGGTGTAAAGTGGTTACTGGATCCCATAGACATCTACGACGTAAATGCGCCACCCACCTTGAGATATAAGTTCTAACTCAGTATAGTTACAACGGCTACCCCACTCTTCAGACCAAAACGCATTACTGCTTCACGGCAGAAATAGGCAGAGTGGTGTTACCTACTCGTGCGGACTCACTACCTACCACCAGTACCTTAGTTATTAAAATTAGATGGAAAACGGTAACTTAATTTTTGAGATTAAAAGCTAATTAAAGCTATCCTTATCTTTAGGAGTTACGAAAACGCGAAGAAAATTATATAATAAATAATATCCACATTTTTATTTGTACGACAAATTAAGAGTAGACTTTCGTAGTCGTATTAGAGATGTCCCACTTATGTTACGAAATGAGGATAAAATTCGGTCACGGAATAATTTATCAAAGCGGAGACCGCTTTGTCACGGTATCCTTCGAGCGGGACCTGATAAAATATTAGTGGTGTTGTTTTTATTTACAATGAAAATATAAATTACTGTGTAATTGTTACATTTGTTTTTCCCTTCACTATTCGCTGGAAGCCTAAGAGGCTGTTTTAGCTACGCCCGGATGGGTAGGTGAGCTCACGGGCTTGACCTGAGAGAATTTGTACATAATATACAAATATACATAATACAATATAACCAATGTTCTTACAATTCAAAAACTAGAAACACAAAATTAATAAATTAATTTAATTTAATTTTATAACAACACAATTGACACAATGTGCAAAGATACGCGAAATTAATTATGAACTGTACAAATTAAAATAAATATCACAGTACATGTATGACGTGTGAAATTCCCGCATTGTATAGAAGAATACCCGTGTTATACGATGCAATGAAATGTCGGAATATGAAAATACGTTATAAAAGTACCGTGTTATAAGGTAGATTACTTACTGTACACAACGAAAAGTGGTAAGCGACCACCGGTCAGTTAAAATACACAACAAAAAAACTTTTAATGGTCCCTTAAAATGACTTAACATAATTGAATGTGTTTAACCTGTCGTCTCTTTCATCACTGACAAGTTCCATGATATGTTCAACTTAATAAAGAATATAACAAAATGCGTAACCATAATTTAACATATTTGCTGTTACTCATTGAAGATTTTCTTCATCTGTACCTAATTCTAGATGTAGCCCACCAAAAAAAGTATATTATCATCGAAACTGAAGAAACATGTAAAAATTCAACTCCATAGAACAAACGTACGTGGTTCTAATACGGGTTGCCAGATTTGTCTTAGAATCAACAAATAGCTTGCAAACGCGACGAGCATTTTTGTTGGTGAGATTCAATAAATCTACCTACCTACTCGTAAATTTCCAAAAGTGGGGCTTAGGATTATTGGGAAGCCACACGGATAAGTAATAACATTCTGCCTATTTCAAATCAAATCAAATCAAATCAATATCAAAATAAAATAAAAAATTATTCAACATAAATTAAAGTACACACTTGTTGAACGTCAAAAGCACTACCGCCAATTCACAAGAACTAGCCTCCGTCCTGAGAAGAATTGGCAAGAAGCTCAGCGGGCATGTCTTTTTTTTTTAATATTAGATTTTTTTTTTTAATATTAGATTTTTTTCCGCGATTTCTGCCGCGAGGCATTTTAGTTTAGTTAGAATTATGAAACATCCGATATTGTAACTTCTATTGCTGGTATGGATACAAGGTGGATTCTGAACGTGAGTTATTGAGTGCAATAAAAAAAACAAATTTAATTAAATACTGAAACTA